AAGTAGTCTGAGGCTTGTTCTGCCAAGCCGGGAACTGCAGCCACTTTCAATGTTTTTTAGTACAGCTTTTTAACCTACTGAGAAATTAATTTCTGTTCACGGTGTACATCAGTATATTTAAGGTCTACAGGCATAGACCGAAATTGTAAGTGTATATTTGGACTGAAACGCGTCAAACACTGGGTAATATATACATGCTGCCAACAGGCAGACTGTAGTAGTACATGTTCATGTTGTAACAGGGAAAGCTGGGGAACCCACTAATGAGCCGCACCTTTCGCAGCTCTGTCGAGCGGCGGCAGAACGCGTATCTGGGCTGTTAGTGTGGTAAGTTACAATATCAATATATGTTTGTTTAGTTGTTAGTTTGTTTATTCCACGCTAGTCTTCCCAGCGCTTCTTTTTCTTGATTTCTCTGTTCAGCATCTTTTTTAGTTGAAGTTAGGTTCAGCTATATTCTGATTGTATAAATCGTATTCGGTTTGTGTACCCTTTTACTTTTGAGCCGTATTATTGCGCTCCTGCATTTATGGTTGTATTAGAGTTTTTAGGTCAATTCTACAGATGTAGAGACACTATCAGCGCTATTCACGAACTGATCAGCCGCTTTCCGTTAAGACCGAGCCTGTTCCTACAATCTTTCTCTTCTTCTTCTTCTACAGAAAAGTCATGTCATTTATGCGGCGGTCTACACAAAATGTCCTGAAAGACGGACACGTCTCCACAAGCCGACCACATTTTATAAAGGTTAAAGAAGTTAGCGTGGAAAAAAAAAGAAAACAGTACACATATATCCTAACTTAGCCTATTTACCCATCAAAAGTCCTGATCCTGTTCCCCCGCCATATGAATGAAAGAAGCAGAGACCATTTAGGAGATCACAGGCTTCTGCAATCTTCCGAAGGCTGTCCACAAATGGTTCCTTGTAGGACTGTCCCATTTGATAAAAACCACGTGCATAATTGCTTGCTGCATCCTCCTTTCCATTTACTAGGCTTTTTGCGTTGAAGAGGTTTTGGTAGACGCCACCACGAACTTCGTCTAACGAGGCGTAAAGTGGTGGGTAAAGGCAGTACTGTGATTTTTTTTAAAAAAAACTTTGCACAAGCATACAAACAAGCCTGCAAGATTTGGGGGCATTATTATAATAGAAGTTTCAATCCATTTTACGGCAAACGTTTCTTTACCCATGCCTTGACTACAGTTGTGGGAAGACAGAGGTGGTCTCACTACTTGATCCCTTAAAGCCACCTCAGTAAATAACTTAGTCCCGTTCACA